GTTATCCAAAGCACAAAGATCAGAAAGTGTACGTTTTAGTCGCATCCCATCACTCATGAGGAAGCCCTGGTGGTCTAGCAGTAAGAAGCTGTGCTACAATCTCAAAGGCATACGGTTTGAATCCACCAGCTACGCCGCAGGAGAAAGATGGGCAATAACAGTGATTGATTGTCTTGGAAAATCCACTGAAGAGTCAGTTATGGGTTGGTTCTGACTTGATGGAACACTACATCATCACTCTTGAGCTGCCCCAACCCTGGTGAGACTTAGACACAGTGAACGTGGCTTCCTGGAAAGCTACATGTGCCATGATTTATTAATGATGCCTGTCTAGGCTGAAAAATGGGGGAACAGAGGACTCACATGCCCATAATGTTCAATTTGGGGCAAGTAATGTCACTCTACCAATTGCTTCTCAAACCACATGCATCGGATTCACTGGGCAGGACTTGTAAATAAAAATCAGGGTTTCCTGTGCTCAATAGTAGAGTAACTTGACTTAAGAGTCTCTCGGAAATGAAGTCCAGGAAACTGTATTTTCAGAAGCTCCCTAGGTGATAAGATTATTTGGGTACACACTGAAGTTCAACACTCACTGGAACAACTACTTAAGATAACTTTATTATTTCTTGTCCCAGGATACAGAATCGTGCCAGCTCTGATCCAACATCTTTGTCTGTGCTTTTTAAATGCACTAACATTCGGATCAGCATAGCTTTTGAAAATCCCTTCTAAATTAATTACTCTGCATTTGCCTTTTATTCTTCATTGCTGTGAAAGCTAAAAAGTAGATATAAATACGGGTAGGAAACGAATGGCTCCTGGGCCAAAGTTGGCCCACTGAAGTATTTTGTTTGGCTAACGCACCACACTTTCTGAAAATGGGAATGTTCTTTGACAGGTCGGGGACTCTCTAGCTTGCCACAGTTGCCAGCAGTCTCAACTGTATTACACCAAACTCAACCTCCCTCATGTCAGTTCCCTTCCCAGCCTTCCCAGGTATAAACTCCTTATCTATGGTGCAGTTCCGATTTAGTGTGCCTAAGAATTCAGACCCACAAACAATTCACGATCAAGGGAGCTCCAAACGAGAGAGGAACTTGTTAGTTCCCATCAAGTCCGCTCCAAGTCCTGGAGAGTGTATGTGCCGCAGAACAAGCCACTGCCTGGTCCTGCGGCAGCATCTGTATGGTCTTCATGAGGCTGAGTCCACTGCAGAAGCTACTGTGTCATGTCCAATCATTGAGGGTTTCCTGCATCTTAATTTAATATGTGTCCTTTTCTAGTGATGGGTCTTGCCTATGATCAGCTAATTAATTCAAAAGTGCATTTTTGCTACTGTTGTGAAAATAGAGATAGTGCCATATTTGCAGATTGCAGTTTTCTATGTACACAATTCAATGAGTTTAACTGCATCAATCCTGTTGCTGTAATTATTTCCTTTTCTTTTCCCTCCTCCCAAACAAAATCTCAATGCTTCATACACAATTATTTGGCCACTCATAGTTCTCTTCAGGCCCTGGCAGCTACTGTAAAACTCTTAATCTTTGGTGTCTATATTATTAGTTTTGTTCATATACTTCATAACGGCGAAATACTACAAGAGCTATTCTTCTATGAGTTACTTATTTCACTCAGCATGTTTTCCAGGTTGATACACACCCTGGTGTCCTAAGGAAAGGAACTGAGGCCCAGAGGAGAGCAGAGCTTGGCCCAGGTGAGGTAACTACCAAGCAAAGGAGACAATTCAAGACAGCCAGGTTCCCACAGACCTTAGCTTTCATTCCTAGATACCTTCTCCACCTCAGGGGAAGTACTTAAAAAACAAGGAGAAGTCTCAGAATTGGGAATGGGTTTTGGATTTAAACAAAAATAAATAAAATCCTCACAAGGCCAGGAGAGAGAGAGTGAGAGAAAGAGAGATATAGAGAGACAGAGAGAGAGAGAGCGAGAGAATGAATATGAATGAGAGAGAATTAGAGAACACACAAACCCTGCCAGGCACTTTCCATCCAAGAACAGAAAATTACCTAGTGCATATAAACATCGGTGAATTTTAAGAAATCAAAAGGTAGATATAGACTGACATCTTATCATTTAAAAACAACAAATGGGATACATAATCATTAGCAGCTGGTGAGCCAACATACCCCCCAAAATTATTTAAGTGTACGTTTACTCCAGAGCTTTGGATATAAATCTTTGAAAATAGATCTTGCCCCACAGAAAAGTTATTTCATTCATTTTTTATAACTTAAGTCTTCTAGTATAATTAGATAATTATTAGCTAATTCTGAATTGAGATGTTATTCGTTTATCAGGAATATAATGAGTATCTACCCATAAAATGACAGATTTCTGCTTAGTTAGTCTAGTCTACAGGAATTTGGACTAACCCCAAAGTTGTGCTTCCTTGGTGGTTCGAATCCACTGGCAGCTCCAGGGGTGAAAGATGAATAATTGCCTCCCCGCAATTTACAGCCTCGGAGACCCACTGGAAGGCCAGCTGTGAGAGACCCCTCCCCTGTGCCGGTTTATCTTACTGTGGTGGCACGTATGCTGCTGTGATGGTGGACGCTCAGCCACCAGCAGGGCCACCTATGGTGGACAAGCTTCAGCAGAGCTTCCAGATTCCCAAGAGGAGGAAAGGCCTAGTGATCTCTTTCCAAAAATCAGCTAATGAAAAGCATACCCATGACAGCAGAGCCCTGTATAACTCTCTTCCTATGGACATGCCTTCAGGAAGGATCAATCACTAGAGAAGCACATTAACTGGTGGAGAGGAGCAGGAAAGGTCAGGGAGAGTCTCCAAGCTGCCCCAACAGTTAACTCATACACGTTGGTGGTGATGAGGATGGCACACAACTGGCCAATAGCTCGCTTTGTCCTGTAGAAAGTTTCTAGGAGTTGAAATTGACTTGATTGCAGCTAACAATATCATTCAAAGTTCTGATTCACTTAAGTATAAAAGGAGACCCAACAATTTTCCTTCTCAACTGGCATTTCCTGGTGCTTCTGAGTGAGTGATGAAGGAAGCACCCTATAATTACACTGGCCTAAGGAACTGTGTGCCATTTCATCTAATCCCCCTAATTTAACAAATGGGAAAACAGAAATCTTGGAAGGGAGACCAGCCTCTGGGTCTCCTCCTTCACCCTGTTATCTCAGGCAGGGGGCACTATATTAATGGAAACCACTGGGGAGGATGCCATCAGTTTTCAGTACAGTGTCCAAGGGGAAAATCTCTACCCCAGGCCTGTCTGGACAAGTCCTGTAGAATCAAAGCAACAAAAAAGACAATAAAAAAGTGTTCTCTCCTTGCATACTTTCAAAGTTGAGACTTCTTTGTGTTAAGCTGACCTTGAAAATAATGATGCTTATAACGTCATCTTAAAACTGCAGTGACATATCATAGGTACAATAAAAAAAAGCACCTCTTCTGCCCATTCCCAAGGATCATTACCTGCACTGTTCTTGGGCACGAGTTCTTTGACACTGATGAGAACTGGAAGGGTTGAGGGCAAGGATGTATCATTTGCAAGTTCAAATCCATACCCTTTGTGTGCTGAGCAGAGTACAGTCAATGTAGCACTCAGCAGGGTATAAAACCTACAATAATACCCAGGGAGCCCTGGTGGCACAGTGGTGAAACACTTGGCTGTTAATGAAGAAGTCAGTGGTTCAAGCCTACAAGCCACTGCAGAGGAGAAAGATGTAGCAATCTGCTCTCATGAAGATTTTTGACCTTGGAAACCATTATGTGGGAGTTCTGCAAGAGCACACTAGTATTGTTACTGTTGTTATCACCATTGAGTCAGAATCCTCTCAGAGCTGACCTGCCATCGGGTTTTCACAGGTTATAAATCACACCAGAGAAGACTGTCGACCCCAAGGAGCAGCTGGTAGATCTGGATTGTGTGCCTTTGGGATGGCAGGGCAACTCCTTCCTGCACTAAACCACCACCAGAGCTTCCTAAGGGCGTTCTATAAGTCAAATAAATTCAACGGCAGTGGATTTGGTTTGGGTTTAAATGGGCTAGAAAGCACTTGTAAAAGTCAATAAGAAAAAAAAAAAGTCAATAAGCAACGTATTTACCTGGTGGACTTAATGAATGAATTCCTTTATTAACTGTAATTCTTTTAAAATAAGTCCAAACAAAACCCTGCAGAGAGTTCCCTAATCCCTCAAAGTTAAATATTTTTTAAAATGTTATCTTATATTGGTTTGCATACAAATTCATATACACTGGGTTTCACACAATCATTCCCATACATTATGTTTTATAAAATTAATCACTCTTGAACTATGCCAACTATTACCCTGCCTTTTCAGGTCCCTGCTGGATCCTTCCCATTTCCTCTACTTCCTCCCTCCACTCACCAAATAGTGTGACCCCATGACTCCTCCCTGCCCATTTATTTTTTTTTAAATCTTTTACCATAACACAAATTTTCTTTTTAAGCACAAAATCTACACCCTTCCCTTTGTGCTTATTCTCCACTGCATCTGGAACAGTTTCCCTTCACAATTACTCAGGACATACACCTTACTTTCTTTCGGTTGTTCTTTAAATGCCACCTTCTCAAAGAGGCCCCAACCTGACACCCTGTGCAGACTCGGATTGTTTTCTTTCATAGGAAATACGATTCCTTGGTATCTTACATATTTTACATCTTCATTCATTGTCTATTTCTTCCATCTTATAATGGCTATGCATCTCTCAAAATTGTCTGTTCAATTATGAACCTCCACTACCAGTACATTTGGCCTTATTTAGAGACAGAATCTTCACAGATGTGATCCAATTTGTTGTTCTAAAAGACTCCCTTGGCTGCAGGGTGCAGCAGGAAGAGGGCTATGCGAGTGAACGGTCTGGGCAGGGCTGGGGGCGGTGGTGCTAGTTGGTGTAGAAAACAGGCAAACTGAATATGTTTGGATAATTAACTCCAAGTTATGTTTCCCTAAATCCCAGCGCTGCCAATTCCAGGTCCACGCTCACCTTTTCTGACAAAGCCTCCTCTAGAGTCGCCAGTGCCGTATCTGTGTTACTGGAATCCGTCTGTAAGGACTTCACTCTGTCTTTCAGATTGGTCAGCTGTTTGTCTTTATCTCGAAGTTGTTCTTGCAAGTTTTCAATCTAAAAAGAAAGATCGCCAGGTTTAATGCACATTTTATTACATACCCAGGAACAATGCACCTGACACATCTACTGGGGGGAGGGGACATCTGTTTAAGATATAAACTAGATTTAGATTAGGGAAATTGCCAAAATGACAAAGTCACACATTGACTTAGAATTGAGTAAGTTTTGATGATAGCTTCCTTTTTCCATTTAATTCAGATGGTACGTAAGTATCAATACAGATGGGTAGAATAACTCCTTCAATATAAATGCAAGCCCTTTAAGACACATAACAACAAAACACACAGAGAGACAGTATCAAAGGTTGTCACTGAGTCATTTCTAACTGATGGCCATCCCACTTATGTCAGAGTGGACCTTGCTCCCAACAGAGTTTACAATAGCTCGTTTTCAGGATGATCAGCAGAACTTTCCTCTGAGGTCCCTTGATTCTCCAGTCCGTTCTAGTCAGCAACATGCCTCTGGAAATTCTATGAACTTTTATAAATGACAATAGAAAAAGGCGTCAAGCCTTTTGTTCTTACAATCACTATGAGTTGTGCTCAACTTGGCGGCAATCAACAACCACCACCACCACACAGAAACTCCAACTCAGATACATGTTGTGTTCTTAGGTGCCATCAAGTTGACCATGACTATGAGCCTTGCCCTGTCTTGTACTATCCTCACCAACAATGCTCAAGCCCATTCTTCAAGTCACTGGGTCATCTTGTTAAGGGTCTTCCTCTACTTCCCCCTTTTCCAACATTATATCTTTTTCCAAAGACTTCTGCCCTCCTGACATCATGCTCAAAACACGTGAGGCCAAGGTTCACCAATCTTATCTCTAAGGAGCACCCGGGATGTACTTCTCCCAACACACACAGATTTGTTCCTTCTTTTGGTAGTCCATGGAATATTCAGTATTCTTCTCTAACACCACAATTCAAAGGCATTGATGTTTCTGCCATCTTTACACAGTGTTCAGCTTTCACATGTATAGGAGATAGTTGAAAAGACAATGGTTTGGACCAGGTGCATCTTAGCTTTAAAATGACATCCTTGCTCTTTGGAATTTTGGGAGAGATCCCCAAGTAAAATGAAATTGTTAAGAACTTTACTTTTTACTCCATCTATTGTGGTGTTTCCTATTGGTCCAGGTGTAAGCACTGCTATTTATACTCCTTTACTAACCCTCAAAGTCTCAAGTTCACACCTAACCTTTTTAGAGAGACCCGGAGAAAAGGTTACACAGGATCTACTTATTCACTAATTCATGGACAAACATTTCTTGGCACCCTGTACAAGTAAGGAGCATTATTCCAATGCACAGCAGAATCCATGTAGTCTTTGCAGTTCATTCCACCACTCAGTATTCAACTTTGTGATACTGCAAATGTTGTCAAGTGGCTGTTTTAAAGTAACCACATAAAAAGCCAAGTAGGTTATCATCAGTAGGCTGTTAATGGGAAGAACCTGTGATATAAATCAAATGTAGCAAGTACTAAACACTCCATTTGGCAACTAAGTCATGTGCTGGCAACCAACCAGCCCCTTTTATCCCCTATCAGCAGCCTGAAATAAACAAGCCAAATTGCAGATTATAACACTTGCTTGGGAGCAGCAGCAAGAACCTTCTCCAGGACCATGTAAGTATTATCATTCATGTTTTTATTCCTGGCTTTCAAACCATGTATTTCTTATCTAAGGATAAAAAAACCCCAACCCTACTATACAAACAATGTATTCATATTAAGGGTTTTTAAATGATAAGGAGAAAAAAAAGCAGTACAACTTTAAAAGATAAGTGCATTCAATGTTTGCAATCTGTCCCTCGCCTTCTCAGGAAATCATTTCAAATTCATGTTTCATGACTTATCACTCACACAAAACAAAACAAAAATTTATTGCTTGCTTCATTTCGCATGCATCTGGAATGCTATCACAAACAGTGATAATAGTAGCAGCATTAATGATGAAGGGTGGGGGGAGGGGAGACAATGGTGATAGAGGTGGTACCAGTAATAGCACTAAATTAGCCCTGAAAATGAAGAGAATCATTCTACAGACCGTCTTAATCTGGGCTAATGGTGGCTAATTTTTCCAACAGTTGCAATGGGTTTTTCACTAACCCACCATTTAATGTTGAGTCACTCTCACTGTGACCCATAAGGAAAAAGCAGATCACAGGGTCTTGTGGACACCAACTGCCTCATCTTTCTCCCGTGCATTGGCCGGTGGGTTCAAACTGTTGACCTTCGGGCTTGCAGTGGAGTACTTTAACCACTGTACCACCACATCTTCTTTTGTTGCTGTTATATGCCACTGAGTCACTTATGACTCATAGCTACCCTATGGGAAACAGCTCTGAATCCTGATCTATCCTGAGCCAACCTCATCTTCTCTGACACACCCACCCCCATTACCCCAGTCACTGAGTCAATCCATCTCATCAAGGGTCTTTCTCTTCTGTGTTGTCCCTCCACCCTCCCAAGCATGATGTCTCTCTCCAGAGAGTGGTCCCTCCTCGCAACCTCCCCAAAGTATGTCAGATGGAGCTTCAGAATCCTTGCCTCCAAAGAGCAGCCTGGTTTCACTCTCTCCAGGTGAACCTGTTTGTTCTCCTGGCAGTCCATGGTATTTCCAGCATCACAACTCAACGTCATCAATTCTTCTATCATCCCTAGTAATTTTCCAGCTGAGCTAATACTTTTTTGTTTGTTTTGATTTTTATTTCTTTCCTTTCTTTTTTTTTCTCCTCTCATTTTTCCTGATTCAGAGAGGTTTGGGGGCATAGTAGAGTGATATGCTGCAAACCTAAAAGACAAATGTCCGGTGGTTTGAATCCGCCAGTATCTCCACAGGAGAAAAAGAAGTAATCTTCTCCCTTGAGATTTATAGCCTCAGAAATTCTGCTGGAGGGTCAGCTATTAGTCAGTTCCATCTTGATGAGCTACAATTCCCCGCCCCCGTTTTTACGTTTTTCGTTTCCTTTAATTATGGGCTTGTTTTTGCAATTATATCTTCATAAGACAATTTGTTTTCTGGCTTAAGAAAGACATTACAGAAACTCAGGTTCTATATCAAACAACCAACCTTCTCCTTCAACAAAAAATCAAGGTGGGCCACGTCTGCTGCTATCATGAGAATTCACCGTCTCTCCATAGAATACACAGAATGCAAAAGGCATTATCATTTATAGTTAAAACAAAGCCTACCTCAGTTCCACACAGACGTTCAAATAGTCACACCATAAGCAAATACCTGGGCGAGCAAGAGTGTGAATGCTGACAAGTCAGAATAGCTGATTTAGAACAAGCACAGTTATGTGAAGAAGCCAGCAGCCGAGAGAATGTGAGAGGACCGATTCATAAGAGAGTGTGGCTCTTTCATGTGCCCCCACGTTCAAGGGTCCATTTGTGCAGCTATCTGTGTATGTGCAAATCCACTGTGGTTCCACGCAAGCTGATTAGGCCCACCCTGCCTCATTCTGGCTATCTACCCACATGAATGGTTTCTTTGATGGATAGAGGGCCAAAAAGGAGGGAATTCTGGGCCAACGGTTTCGGGAAGGGACAAAGAAGCAAGGACGAGATCACGTGACAGATCTGTGGCTCCGTGCCTGGCACAGGAACCAGGTTGCCCTCACATGGAGTCTGAAGGCAAGCATCCAGCTAGAGGGGGGCAGTCTTGGGAGACACAAGGCTCCTGAAGGGTCACTTAAGGGACAATGGGTAACTGGTTTGTAGCCCTTGCCTCCAGGGGGGTCTGAAGAACTGGGGCCCTGGGAGACTGTAACTTGGATAAGGCAGTTATGATCAGCCCCAAGGCAGAGTAAGACACCACTCTGGAGGTGGCTGTGAGCTTCTAGAAGACTCCTTGAGGATACTACCACATAACTGAGAAGGCTAGGGAGATCAAGGTTTAGGGGTTCTATGAGTGTGAGGATGACATGATTCAGAGCTGTTGTTCATACGGTCATTATGAGTTGTACTTGACTCTGTAGACCTAACAACAACTGATGGACAGGAACCCCCGGTGGCATACTAGTTAAAGCACTCAGCTGCTAACTGCTTGGTAAGTGGCTCAAAACTTCCCTACAGCAAAGAGATGAGGACTGCATGGTAAAGGTTCTAGTCCTGAAAGTCCAATGGGCAGTTCTACTCTACACCATAGGATCACTGTGAGTCCGAATCAATTCAATACAACCCAGCAAACTGGCATGCAGGTACGGGCTAGGAGTCAGAAATATGGGCTGATGATTCCTAGGACGGTGGAGTGATGTATCAATTTACCTCCATCGCAGAGTCCAGCAGAAGAGCCTTTGGTATCCCAGGTAAGATTTGCTAACACATCTGGAGTTACACCTGGTGGTGCATGTACTGGGGTAGCAACTTTAAGAAACACTACACAGAGGTTGCCATGAGTGACACTTCTCAGGAAAAAATCAAGGTACAGTGAGGGGAATATGGTTTCTGTGTAAATAAATCTATAAATAGGTACATACATGTGGTTACTGAAATGGGGGATTTTCCCTCACCAGAAAAAAATTAAATTACAAGGCATTTAAACTGTGCTGACCTTTAGGGAAAGACCAAGTGGACAGAAGTTAGGGGGAAGTTTGTGTTAACTCATTTTCATAGATTGCTTTACTCTTCCAAATGGATTTCTAACCACGTAGGTTTTATTACTTTTTACAATGACAACTGAGTTTATCTGGTTGGTGATATAATGGACCATTTTTAGTTTCTATAAAAATAATAAAGATTATGTATGCTTAAATAAAATCTCTATGGAAAACAATTTTTCCAAGTTGCCAGCAATTGGGAATTATTAGTACATTTAAACCACACAGTACTGTGTAAAAGGAGTTCTGGTGGACTCCTAAGAGGCTGCACTGCAATCACGTAGTACAAATCTTCCAGCTGTTCCACAAGAGAAGGATGGACAATCTCCTCCCATGTGATTTACTGCTTGTGAAAACCCACTGGAGGGTTAGTTATGAGTGGGTTCCA